TGTGTGTGCATGTGTTTTTGTGTTTATTGTTATCATTTGTATGGGGTAATTCTCTGTGCAGGGGTTGAACAAACCCCAATCCCTTATTTCCTGTGTGAGGAACACTAAGAGTATTTATTAAAATAATTGTTACAAGCAGTGGTGTGTTGGTTTTGAAAGCCATTTTCTGTTGTTCTGTTTGGGTTTTGTGACTATGCACGATTTTGTTAAAAAGACTATACAGCTGTTTGCACCGGGTGAAAAAAACACAACCTAAGCTTGTTGGCTGGTTTTAACAGATTTATTAAAATTATATAATTTTTAAACTCATTATTATTAATAATAGTATTAACTTTCAGTTAAGGAGCTAACACAATCTAACGGCAATTCATAACTTTTTGATTTAGTGGCTAATTCTTATTAATTCGTTTGATTTAATTTGTACAATTTATTTATTTATTTTTATTAAAGAATGCAAATATACAACCACAATCAGGAGATCGATATAAGTGACATACAAAGGAGAGAAATACAAATTACATTAGCTGCAGAAAGAAAGAAAAAAGATTAAAAAAACAAAGGAAGGGGTGAGTAAATTACAATTGTATAAAAGTGTATGAAATTAAATTAAGAGCATTAGGAAAGCGTTCTAACTCAAATCAGAGTCAGTAGACAACAGTTCTTCATATAGAACCAGGAATCTGACACATTTTTTGTTTTTACATATACGGAAAGATTTGAGCAGTGAGTCAACTTCAATCAGAAAATGTCGACAAGTAGGAACTGAAGCCATGCATTTTAGCTTATGTATAAAATTTTTTAATTCGTACAATTTAGTACGATTTGCTCATCCCCCAATGACGGCTGGGTTTAGGGGTGGGGTTAGGTGCCACGCCTCCTTTTTAAAACCGTACAATTTCATACCACTGAACTCGTACGAAATCGTACAAATTAGCCACTAAATTGCCAAAATGAAAAATACTTACGTTTTCTCGTGAGATCAGGCTGGGTTTTTCAGGTTAAATTACTTTATAAAAAGTATTTTCTACATTTGTTAAGGTGGTAATCAAATATATATTACATATTGGGAATTAAAGGGTGGCATGATGCTTTCGTGGTTAACACTCTATATATATATATATATATATATATATATATATATATATATATATATATATATATATATATACACACACACACACATACATGTAAATATACAGTGCTCAACATAATTGAGTACACCCCATTTTGAAAATTAATACTTTTATCCATTTCTCAGTGAATATAGGCAATGTATTTTGGTGCATTTAAACAAAAGAGATTTATTAAACAGATAAATTTATTAAAATAATATTTTAGTCACCAAACATTGAGAAACTGAAAGATAATACAATTAAATTCATGCAAAATATTGCAAAAAATATAAATACAACCTATAAAATTCCGATAAAATTTTTCTAATTTTATTGCTTCTCTTGATTTTTCCTCGTTTTAAAATTTGTATTTTATATTTTTCTATTACATATAAATTTGGGTGTACATGTTTTTGACCGTTATCATAAGTTATTTTGTTAGATAAGCTCCAGATTTGGCTTCAGTACTGACTAATCTAATGTAAATGCACAAATATTATATTGTATAGCTTCTTATTTAAAATAGGAATTTAAAAGAGAGATTTCAAGTCGAGCTTTATTGTCATTTTGCTACATGTGTGGACATACAGAGCAACACAATATTGCTTTTTGCAGGACAACGGCGCTCTATACAGTAGAGTAATCATAAATACAAACACAACACTGGACATAAGAACTATTATTTAAAAAACTAGCATATACTATAAAATAATATAAAACACTTAAACCATAAGACAGGCTCTAACTTTTACAGACTGAACAATGTAGTGCAGGATGTTGTGCAAGAGAGATATTAAAGGCGAATATTGCGCAAAAGAGGTATTTAAGGTTTAATATTGTGTAAGAGGTAGGCCTATTTAAGGTTGAAGCAAGCTGTGCAACATGATTGTAGTAGCAAACATCACTTTCCTTATTGTGTCCTTGTAAGATGGAGTTTAGATAAAGTGTCAGGTGCATAAGAAAGAAGAGTGTTGTGGTTTGTCACGCCCACTCACCTGAATGAAGCACCATTTTGAAATGTGCAATGTTTCCAAGAGACATGGAGTGATTAAGAAAGTGTCTATAGTGCAAATGTGCAACCTGGTGCAAGAATCAGAGAGAAGAGAGGGGTGTACTAACCTATGTGTGTTATAAATATATAAATATGATAATACATTGTAATTATTTCACTTTAAAAATAACAGTTTGCAATATTGCACAGCATTGCACAGTTAAAATAACTGGAAATATTTTTTAAATACAGCATTTACTTATTTTATAAAATATATATAAAATATTTTAAAAATCAGATCGATTTTTACTTTTTCATCTGCTTTATTGTTGGTTTAGCCTTTTTTATATACATTTATGCATCATCTTAAATTTTAAGATAACGCTTTTTAAAAAGTTAGACTATGATCTCATTTATCTAAATTAAAAATATTTCAATATGGTGTGTATGGTAAAGGGGTGTGTATGGTTCAGAAGACCCACCCCTCACTGACAAAGGTCTAGAATACCATTCAAGAGCTCATTTGTTCTGTTTTGACTGCTATGCCATCATAAACAGTGAAAATTACCTATCAAAAAAGGCTTAAAGACCAAGCCGAATCCTCTGTTGACTGTTGCTTCGGTGTGACTCCAGCTAATCAGTTTTGGCCAATGCTTGATTTTACAATCTGACGTAAGAGAATCTTTCGCTACTGCATTATTTTTAAATGAAAACATTTTACTGGTTGCCTATTCTTGAAACAAAAATAAAGAAGAAAAATTTGTAAAGCACCAAAAGCAGACCATATTGAAATTGATTTGAATACTATTTTGGCTATTGTTGTAATCCAAGAGCTTTCAAATGTACTTTTTTTTACAAGCGAGGCTAGAAAAATCATGAAGCTCTACATTATTATTATTATTATTATTGTTAAGTTTGAAGTTATCATTCAAATGGACAAAATTTTAACTAAGGAAATTCAAATATTATGGCCAGTTTTTTAATTTGCCAAATAAATGACAATAGACTGCAGTTTTTAATTTAAAATTTCAACAGATTCCTATTTTGTCTAATGATATATGATGTAATAAATATGTATTACCATTTTTGGTTTATCAAAAAGTGTAGTTATGATGGCCATCCAACAAGCTAATTCAGCTAAATATATTGCATGAAATGTCACTAAAATGCAACATTTAAATAGAAAATTAAGAGAATAACTGAAAAACAAAGAACCACCCCTTACACTAGGCTGGTTTAGGGCCTGTATTAATATATTTAAACATGTAAACGTGTAAATGCAGTATCAAAAATGAAACATTTAACAATAGTAAAAAAGGTATTTCATAGCCTTATGCTCATAAATATTACTTTTGTACCGTATAAATTCGGTCATTATGCAAGATCATTGTGTCTTTTACATATTAGGGTTTCAGGATCTCGCAAAAGGAAGAAGGTTTTTGGTGGGTTCATGACATTGTAAAATCCTGCATTTTCAAAAATGACCACTAGATGTCAACCCCCACTGCAAGTTGAACATTAATGACGCAATACATTTAGAGAGTTTAGTGTTTTTTACTGAAATAAATTAGCTTAATTATTAAATGTATTGTTTTTGCATCTAAAATAAAGGCTTATGTTAACTAAAATGGTATAATTTAGCTTTACGAATTTGACAATAATATGACACAAGATAAGAAACAAAGGTGTTTTTCTGTCTCCATCGTGCACGTGCTCGGCTGCGCGCGCTCTCAAGACAGGCACTGGTCTGTTTACATCAGCGATTGTTCTCTGAGAACAACGAGAGAGTCCGAACTGAGGGTTTTCTTTCCACACAAGCTAATAAGTGGACACAGAAAAGGTTGTGTATGTGTAAAAGGGGGGATCAGGGGTAGGCCAAAGATGGTCTCCCCAATGGTAGGCTACGTTTCCAACTTGTGACAAGCAGAGTTTAATCATGGTTCAAACAAATCTCAATTTTATTTCTTACATTAACTATTTAAAACATTGAGCTCAACATCGCAATAAAAATGTTTCTTTAATTAAACAGTTTTTCTAGTAGCAAAAACCAGTTAAGGACACCTTCCCAATTTTGTACTCATAAGGTCTTAAAGCATCATCCCTACAAATGAGCAGGTAGATAATGGATCAATGTGTAGCCGGTATCACCCTAGAACACCATACATTTAGCCACAAAAGGAAAATACAGACACAGACAAATCATAATATAGAGTCAAGATCAATTCCCCCCAAAAATCCATACAAACATAAGCCTCACCCACAAATGGCATAAACCAAATTAGTAAAACTAGGTGGTTATACTAGAAAAACAAACCACAAAAAAAGAAAATACATAGGACAAAAAACATCAAAACAATATCAATACAAATACCAAGAAGACTATAAATCCCACCTGCAATCAACAAAAATGAAATTAGTTATCAGTTGTTATTCTTGGTTGTTATGTCAAATAGGAACCACTATGTAGAACCCATAAACGTTGAAAACGAAACCCTGCAGGGCGCCGGACCTCCAGGAACGAGATTGGTGACCCCTGTTCAAAATCATAGAAATATAATATAATATAATATAATATAATATAATATAATATAATATAATATAATATAATATAATATAATAGTTTCCAGAAATTTATGAAACATGCTAAGTGAGTGTATTTGTTTAAGTAACAGAGTTACAATTGCACTTTGTTAAAATTTTAATATTTTCAAATTATTTTGTAATTTTTATTTATTTAAAGATTTTATTTGATATTTGTGAATTTTATCATTTTGAGAACACATTTTGGAGTCATTTTCATTTATTTTCCATGGTTAACCTGCACATCGCCCCTTTTTTTTACCTCTTGTGTTGCCGTAGTTTATCTTTTCCTCTTCCTTCTCATAATGGCGATCGAGACCGGAAGTAGGGAAAAGTTTGTTCCGGACAGGTAGAAGCAAAGTGCAATGGCGGAGACTTAAAGTAACCTATCTTGCACCGTACCTTTTGTACTAATTCCAAAAAGAAACGGCCATATTTGTAATTTCATAGCTTTCCCAGCAATTAAACTATTAATAGGCGTTGGATTTGGGCTCGGAGAGATGAGGGGTGGAATTTACTGTGAGGAAGGGCAGCAATTTTGTGTGTGCTATGCACTTCACGGAGGATGAAGTTCGCGTCCATCCACAGTCCGGTCGCAAATTTCTTACACCACAGGCTGTGCCTTCGAGGTTTTCATGGAATAACTGGGGAGAGGTTAAATCGTGCCAGACGAGGACTGCAAAAAGCACGGTCTGTTATGAGCAGGGGGAGAAACCCGTTGAAATGGAGTGTGTTGATGTGGCGCTGCTGCTGAGGCAGGAGCACGATTACAACAGCCGCCCTCCTCCGGGTGAGTGCAGCACATTAATACAATAATTTAAAAAACGCCACTGTCAAGAGTGATATCACAGTAATTAATTGTTAGTTAAACAGAAAGTATATTACATTATATTTATTAGCCATATGAAATTACTAGCAAAGTTATGTTGTGGAGCATTGGTAATGTGTTGCATAAACGTTACTTTACTATTTTAGTAATTTCCCGCTGAAATGCATAACTTTACCATTAGTACATTTAAACCCACTTATAATATTTTCGTCAGTTCTGCTTTACACTACCTGAACCACCCATTTAAGGCATAGTTCAGAATAAAAATTGTCATTATATACTCATGCCCAGTTTTTCCACAAAATCAATTTTGTAAGAATGTCAGTAATTCATCAATTATAGTAGTAAATCGGTTTTAATGTCTATTTGTTTACTGACATTCTTCAAAATACCAAATTCTTCTGTAGTGTTCAGAAAAATAAATCAATCAATAAATACAGGCTTGGAAAAACCTGAGGGTGAGTGAATTATGACATAATTCCCAATTTGGGGGTAAACAGTTTATTTAAGGTCACATGCAAATATTGCAGTGTTGGGGAATATTCACATACACTGTTTGGGGACAGCAAAGATATTTAAAGTTGAAAACAAATGTACAAAAATTGAATTGACAGTACAATAATTGAATTAAGAATTTACAGTCATGTTGTATATTGTGAAATTGCACAAAACTGTAATGATAAAATACCAATTTTTTCACCTTTATGAGAAATGTTCTCCAATAACAGGGCTCAAAATTAACCTTTTTTCTTGGTAGCACCGGTGCTCCTAACTTTAAAAATGTAGGCGCATCAGCCAAAATCTAGTCGCACCCACCAATTTTAAGCACCATTACTACAAGTTTTATACAAACATAGCCTATTTATTGCATATGAAATCAACACTAATCAAACTAACAAGCAAAAAAAAAAAAAAAAAAATATATATATATATATATATATATATATATGTATATATATATATATATATATATGTATATATATATATATATATATATATATATATGCAAGCGTGAGGAAAGTATGTCGCAACGAAATCCCGTTATCACAAGAAAATTTTTTAAACATAACTGAGTGACCAAAAGATACATGGAGCACTCACCGGCCCTGCACGCACTGCTGGACATGAATGAATCTGTAAACGATACAACTGTGCTGTTCTCACAAGTGCTGTCTGATATTGCACTGATGCTTTTGACATATACTGTACTTTATTTTATGCATACTTCATGGTAATAGCAATACCGGTCTTTTCGTGAGTAGCGATATTATTTTACTCAGTGCAAGCCCGTTTGCGATGGTGTACGTGGTGTTCAATTTGACATATAGCTGCCACTTGCATAGCGGACAGCATCTGGCGATTAAATGAAGGATTAAACAGAAGCTCTTGTGCTAGATGTGGCACGCACTTACCTTAAAATTCCATCCCACAGACTTTTCATAGCGAACTTGAAGCCAGTGGAAGTGTTTTATCCACCCTTCGAAAAGTGTAGATGGTGGAGTAACATTCAGCACATGATCACTAGTACGATGTGTCATTATTTGTAACTTTAGACGCCATGGTTTCTAAAACAAAATCTGTCAGTGTTATCTTCATTCTCATCTTCAGCGCTTAACAGTTTTTCATGGTAGTAGCTCTTTCTGTCATCCGAAGCCAGAAGGTATTGACTGAGTTATTGACAGCTGATATTTCGGTGCTAGAGCAGTGGTGGGCCAATAAGAAGAGCGCGAAGGCAGGGGAAGCATTAGGGACTTGGCTTTGTTTACTGCAGCAAGCTGACATGATAACTGTTTTAAATCATTCCTGAGCGCTGCGTTTCAAGTGCAGAGATGCATTCTGCGTGAATGTCTCCCGAATCCGCGCATGTGGTGAACATTTTGCAGTAAAAAATGGGCACACACAACATATATATACATATACAATATATATTTTGAGGTCGCATAGATAAAATTTCGGGCGCATATGCAACCAAAATGGTCGCAATTTCAAGCCCTGAATAATACATTTTCATGTTTAACATTTACCATATACACTTTTTAAAATTAGGTGCTCTTGATAAAGCACTGGAAAAAAATTAAGGAGCACAAGGAACTGGTGGCAAGCCTTACTATCTCTCGACCCCTGCCTGTCTGATAAAGACTTCAAGTACTTCATAAGGTTTTTAAGCAAAAACATCTTTTTTGTTTTTTGGAGATCTATTGAGCCATCAGCATCCTATATTGTGTACTGGTCCAAAGCTAAGAGGATTGGAATTTCAACTGCAAAGAAAGAGGTTGTGATGCCAAGCCCCAAGCGCAAAATGCAATTCAGTGATGAGTTTTTTATGTTTTGCCTGCGTGTTGCTGTTGGTCTTAAGGCTGATTTATACTTCTGCGTCAAGCGCATGCGTATGCTATGGCGCTGACGCATAGTCCTACGCAGTGGCCGTCGGCGTCGCTGATGTGCGCCTCTCAAAAAATTTAACTACACGTCACAATGATGTGTAGCGCAAGCTCTGTGATTGGTCGGTTTGGTATCGCTGACGAGTCTGGGCGGGACCGAGAGCTGCTCGAGCCCATTGGAGCAATTGTTTACAAGTGTGGAGTCCCGTGAAGGAGCTCCTGATGGAAAGTTTTGTTTTGTGTTTACCTCATAGGTAAAGTTGTTGCACGTCCGCCAGTTCCTGTCTCAAAATGAGCGAGTTTAAGCCACTTGTACATCCCGGAAGTGTTCAGAAAGAACAAAACACAGGCAAAGAAACTCGACACAGAGACACATTAACACCTCATTGAAAACTAGCGTATTGGAAGTGTTAATGCAGACCAACAGAGACAGCGCGCAGAAGTATAAATGCACAGCTACGTGCATAGCATGCGCCGTGGGTTACGCCGGTCACTTGACGCAGAAGTATAAACAAGGCTTTAGAGAGTGAGTTTTGGCTGAAATATTTAAAGTGAGCACTTCTACAGTCGCATTGTAACATGGTTAAACTACTTATACCTTGTGTTGGGATCAATTCAAATCTGGATGACCCAGGAGCAGGTGCGACGGACAATGCCTGTGAAATTTCAGCGGTGCTGCCCAAATGTGAGGATCATTATTGACTGCACAGAGTTAAGATGTGAATGCCCAGTGGCAATTAACCTCCACTCTGAAACGTTCTCAGCTTACAAGTAGGGCTGGGTATCGAGTTGGATACTTTTTAAGCACCGACCGAATCGTTTCGATACTATTGAGTATCGAAAAAATCATTTTTGTTCCGTACAAAATTTCGATACCCAAGGGTATAATCTTGTCAACGTCAGTGAGCTAGAAAACCTGCGGCATATTTAACGTGCCCGGATCAAATGCCGCCAACTGCCACCAGCACCTCTAACACCTCCTCCTGCTCACCAGCCAATAACATCGGCCACTAGCACCTCTGACACCTCCTCCTGCTCACAAGCCAATAACATCGGCCACCAGCAACTCCAATACCTCCTCCTGCTCACCAGCCAGTAACATCAACCACCAGCACCTCCAACACCTCCTCCTGCTCACCAGCCAATAACATTGGCCACCAGCACCTCCAAAACCTCCTACTGCTGACCAGCCAGTAACACCAGCCACCAGCACCTCCAACACCTCCTACTTACCAGCAAGCAACATCGGCCACCAGCACCTTCAGCACCTCGTACTTACCAGCCAGTAACACCAGCCACCGTATGCTACATTTTTATGTTTTCTCAGGGAATCCGGGCCAGATCAAGTGGTCATTGGTACCTCAGAGTAGACAACTGATAAGAGACCACGTAAACTAACTCTCCTTTGTGGCCTGCAACAGCATCTGTCAGATTTTTAATCTGACCTGACTGTCATGTCATGGACTATTATTTCCAGTTTGGGTTAAGTTACAACTATATTCAGCAATAATTTTTTGATGTTTAGTAACAAAGATAGGAAAATAGTTTTATTATAAATCTAAATTGAGTAACAAGCCATAAAACTGCAGTTAACGCTTAAATGAATTGAATGACAAAAAAAAAAAAAAAAAAACTGTATATCTGTGAATAATATAACATGTTATGGTACACTGGTTAAAGTCAGGGGCGGAGTGGCCATCTGGCAGACCGGGCAGTTTCCTGCTGGGCCGACGTACTTTTTGGGCCGGGCTGATCTTCGTCTTGGATCTGATCAGCTCATAAAAGGCTTAGCAGCCTATCGTTTTTTTCTGCCTTATTAATTGACAAAAAAACAAAAAAAACAAAACAAACAGACTGCAGAAAATAGTAGAGAAATTTTGAGCCAGAGTCATCGTACTCCTTATGGGAGACTTCATCGCAAAGATTGGGCCTGATAACACAGGATATGAACAAGACATGGGGCCCCACGGGCTGGGAGTGATGAACGCTAATGGAGAGAGATTTGCGGAAATGTGTGCACTTAACAAACTGGTCATTGGAGGCAGCATCTTCCCTCAATAGCGGATCCACAAAAGCACCTGGGTATCACCAGACAGCCTGACAAAGAACCAGATTGACCACATCTGCATTAGCAAGAGGTTCAGAAGATCCCTCCAGGACGTTAGAGTTAGAAGAGGAGCAGATGTGGCTTCGGACCACCACCTATTAGTCGCCAGCATGCAGCTGAAGTTGAAGAACTGGAAGAAAACAACACAGTGTAGAGAGAAGTATGACGTCAGCCGCCTAAAGATCCCCAGCGTCAGGGAAGAGTTTAGACTTCAGTTGAAGAACAGGTTTGAGGTGCTGCAAGAACTGCAGAAGGAAGAGGGAGAAAGTAGTGTGCAGGTCAGTTGGCAAGCCGTAAAAGAGACACTAAGAACAACCTGTCAAGAAGTGGTCGGAACAAAGAAACACCCTCATAAAGAGGGGATTACAGCTGTGACCCTAGAAAAGATAGAAGAGAGGAAACGAAAGAAGGCAGCAGTCAACAACAGCAGGACTAGAGCAGCAAAAGCTAAGGCCCCAGAGGAATACACGGAAGCTCATAGAGCAGTTAAAAAGAGTGTTAGGAAGGATAAGAAAGACGGGCTGGCTGCTGAAGCAGAGCAGGCAGTATATAAAGGCAACATGAAAGAGTTTTATAACACAGCTAAAAAATTATCTGGAAGCTACAGCAGGCCAGAATGACCCGTCAAAGACATGGAGGGAAGGGCTATTGTAGGAGTAGAGCAGCAGATTAATAGATGGTCTGAACATTTCGAGGAGCTTTTGAATAGACCAGTACCACCAAACCCGCCAGACATCAATCCAGCCAATGAAGATCTCCCCATTAACTGCGAAAAGCCAACCAGAGAGGAGATCAGGAAGGCTATTACCCTGTTGAAAAACGGGAAGGCAGTTGGACCAGACAACATACCTGCGGAAGCTTTGACAGTAGAACTGGATGCATCGGTGGAGATGCTGTATCCCCTTTTTGAAAAGATCTGGGAGAAGGAAGAAATACCGACTAATTGGAAGGAGGGTTATTTAATTAAGCTTCCAAAAAAGGGGGATCTTAGTAACTGCAACAACTACAGAGGCATCACACTATTGTCAGTGCCAGGCAAGGTTTTCAACAGGATTCTCCTAGAGCAGATGAAGGACATCGTCGATCAACAATTACGAGATGAACGCTGTGCATCATAGTCGAGCAGTCATTGGATTGGAACACACCTTTGTACATCAACTTTGTCGACTATGAGAAGGCCTTTGACAGTGTGGATCAGGAGACCCTGTGGAAGCTCCTCCGGCACTATGGCACCCCAGCCAAGGTGGTCAATCTGATCAAGAGCTCATATAAGGGAATAAGCTGCAGAGTGATCCACCAAGGACAGCTAACTAACAGCTTCCAAGTGAAGACGGGAGTCCGACAAGGCTGCTTATTATCCCCGTTCCTATTCCTCATTGTTATCGACTGGATCATGAGGACATCCACCAGTGAACACAGGACTGGAATCCAGTGGACCCTATGGAATCATTTGGAAAACTTAGACTTTGCATACAATCTCACACTTCTCTCCCACAACCAACAAGAGAAGCCCATTGTGTTAGCAGCCACATCATCACAAGTCGGACTCAACATCCACACAGAAAAGTCTAAGATTGTTAAAATCAACACCAGCTGCAACAATCCAGTAACCCTGAATGGAAGTTCTCTGGAGGAAGTACAGTTCTTTACCTACCTAGGCAGCATCATCGACCAGCAGAGTGGAACTGATAAAGACGTTAAGGCAAGAATCAAAGCAAGAGCTGCTTTCATCCAGATTAAGAACATTTGGGCTTCGAGAGAACTTACCATGACCACAAAGATCTGCCTGTTTAACTCTAATGTGAATTCAGTATTGTTGTACGGGGTAGAGACCTGGAGGATAACCAAAGCTTCCACCCGAAAGATCCAAACATTCATTAACACCTGTCTCAGAAAGATTCTGCACATTCACTGGCCTGACACGATCAGTAACACCGACCTATGGAGAAGGACCTATCAACCTCCGATAGAAATAGAAATCTGGAAGCGAAGATGGGGTTGGATAGGGCACACCCTACGCAAACCACCAACTAGCATCACCAGACAGGCTCTCAGATGGAACCCCCAAGGGAAGCGGGAGAGAGGCCGTCCAAGAAACACCTGGCGACGTGACTTTGACGCAGACATCACAAGGATGGGTTACATCTGGGGACAAGTAGAAAGAATGGCCCAGGACAGGAACCTCTGGAGATCTACCTTTGGCGGCCCATGCCCCGGAAGGGGTGGAGGGCACAAGTAAGTAAGTTATTAATTGACGATGCTATAATGATCTGTGACTCTCTGAAAGTAAGATGCTTTTTTTTTCCGCACAGACAGACTGGGCCGGCCCATGTGACACTCTGCAGCCTTATTGGTTCTTTTCCTTATTGATATTGGGCTGGCCCAATCACAAACTCCTATTTTGGGATCTGTGTGAGCGTGCATTGTCTGTGTGTATTTGTCAAAACAGTCGAGAGTCAGAGAGAAGAAACGTAAGGGAGGCGCTGAGAAATTGCAGGAAACACACTGGCGTTTCATTTAACGGTTCTGAAAAGTTCTCCGTTCATTCTAGTACACGGCTAAAAACGCAAATCACGTGACCACACACTCTCTGCCAAGAGCTGCAGCCAGTAGGTCAGGGGGTGAGTATAAACCCCATGTGAGAGTATAGTGCATGTCGGACAGTTCATTTAGATCTGGATCTCATCGCACTATAGTTGTTAAACGTAATATTGAATTAATCTCGTCTCACAACTTTTCTGTCTTTTGAATTGTTCTCAGGAAACTCTGTTTTGGCTGAGTGCAAAGATAAGTTAATATATTAATTTATGTAACCACGTACACTGATTCTGCACATGACTGATTGCTTACCTTAATCGTATAAATGCATTGTACGTTATACTGTTATAATGGCCATTATTGATTATTAAAACTGATATTCTGCAAAAGAGACAGGGTAAAGTTCCATCTTTTCAATGAAAATGAAAGGAGGCAGTTATATTTAAGCCCTGTTTTGTAATAAATATGCAGAGTGAAGATGACGGTCATATTAATATGTACACGAGGCTGTTTGGTGTCTGTTAATCATAATATCAAAATGAAACAAATTTCCTTATTATGTTTTCATTGTTAAGATAGTGAAATAGCAAGCAGGATGAGGTGAATGAGGTTATAAAGTACACTGTTCCCTTTGAAGATTTATCCATGCATTAGCAGGCAGTTTTTGTTATGTTTATTATTTAATATAGGCTGAGTGAATATTGTATTGAATAAGCTAAATTGGCTGTAGTGTACGAGTGTGTGTGTGTGTGTGTGTGTGTGTGTGTGTGTGTGTGTGTGTGTGTGTGTGTGTGTGTGTGTGTGTGAATGAGTGTGTATGGGTGATTTCTGATTATGGGTTGTGGCTGGTAGGGCATCTGCTGCATAAAACATGCTGGAATAGTTGGCAATTCATGCCGCTGTGGCAACCCCTGATAAATAAGGGACTAATGGGAAGAAAAATAAATTAATGAATAGTGTATTTTTTAGAACTTAACAAATACCTTCATGGACGGTATACAGAAATTAAATTGAGATTAATGTCTGTATTTATTTCTTTATTTATTTCATATATATGGCTTTTGTGTTTTAGAAAACAGGAGTTGATAAACATATTGGACGTGAACAGATAGATAGCATTTTGATTGAATGTAGTGGGCCGCTCTGACCCAAAATGCCAGGACTGATTTTTTTGCCCCAGTCCAGCCCTGGTTAGAATAAACCTTTTGTCTATTTTCTTCCAAGCAAAATATGGATTTAGGTGCCAAAGTAGAATTCATCAACTTTTGTCTTGATTTCTTGGATTAACTCATCATCGCTCCATACTCTCTTCACAGTGAAGTCACCCCTGGTATCTGTTACCAGATCACACCAAGCTAAGCCAGTAATCATCAGCTGTCCCTGGATTTGTCAGTGGTAGGCATGTGATTTCTTTAATTTTGCTTCACCCTTTTTAACTGAAGTGTGTAATGCCTCTCCAACGTGATTTGCATCTAGGCATTTAACCTCTACCAGGTCAAAAGGAGGGTTTTCATTTGGGTCACCCCAGGACTTTCAGGCAATGAGCGAGCTGATGCAGCTGCTAAAGATGCTTTGAAGCAAGTAGTGAACAAATGCCAAATTCCTCCGTCAGAGATGAAACCTTTGATCAACGCTTACATTTTAAACAAGTGGCAAATGGAATGGGATGCATTAGAAAACAATAAAGTACATGAAATCCAACCTGAAGTTTCACACAAAATTAAGAAATTTTAAGAATCGATTTGATCAAGTAGTTTTTACCAGATGTCGTATTGGGCATACCAGAATAACACATGGTTTTTTGCTCCAAGGTAAAAACCCCACTCAGTGTTTGTGCTGCAAAACTCCTCTTACTATAAAACATATTTTACTGGACTGTCCTGCTTTTACTGATTCCAGAAGGACTTTTTATAAAATGAACTCTTTTAAGGACATTTTTGACAAAGTGAAACCGGAAAAGATTTTAGAATTTTTATCATGTATTAAAGAGCCCATATTATACATGAAATAGGGTCATATCTTGGTTGTAAGGGTCTCCAACAACAGTTTAATATGCATGCAAGGTCAAAAAACACTTTCATGGTCTTATAATCTGCATTTATTTTTACCTAATTATCCCAGCGACTCCTGTATGAATCGTCCAGTGATTCATTTGTTGCCAAACCCCTCCTTAGCGCGAAGCTAATCTGCGCTGATTGGACCAATGACAGCCTGTTGCGCGTGAATAACTTGGTTTCGTTCGTACGTCATGGCGAAACACCTAATGACTCGGTATCAAGGCGACTCGTTTGAAGCACTATGAGTCGACTCTTTTATAGATGAATCAACCGTTTTAAACACTGTACACTAACAGATTTGACCCTTAGCTGGATACTTCACTTCACTTAGAGCTGTGTTACACACTACATGGAGGGGAATTTTCAAAAACCCATAATATGGGCTCTTTAACACAAAAATCTTATTTAATTTATTTTTTATTTTGTTTGTTGATTTTTAAATTGTATATTTATTGTTGAAATATTCCTGCCATGAAGATAGCCTTGGTTGCTGACATGGCATTAAATAAAAAAAACATTACATTGGGTCACCCCAACCAAGATAGTCAGATATGGCAGTAAAAGCAAAACTCCAGCATCTGACAGAAGTGAAGAACAAACATTTGGAGAAACCAGGCTCAGCCCGGCCAGCAAATTGTAGTTTTCCACTGGCCGAATGAAATGAGCAGAGCTGCAGTTTGGCCATGAGAGAGCATAAATTGTTATAATCACCAGTAAAATAAGCATTTGAGATGTCTCTTTTAATTTACTCAGTAAAAATATAATTTATACATATCTTTAATCACAATTTCCCGTTCCTTCCAACGGGAACAAGAAACTGCTGCATTATCTCCCTTACAGAAACCTGGCTATCTGCAGAGGTGCCAGACACAGCTGCTGAAACTTCGGGGTTTCTCCGTGCACAGCATAGAACGAAAGAACTCACCGGGAAAAGCAAAGGAGGAGGTGTTTTTTTTATTAACAACTTATGGTGTGATGAGAGGAACATACACCCAGTTAGATCATTTTGTTCTTCTGATCTGGAATATCTTATGCTTCGGTGTCGACCATACTGGCTACCAAGGGAGTTCAGAGCGGTTATAATTACGTCTGTCTACATCCACCCTCAAGCCAACACAGAGCAGGTGCTCAGGAAACTGTATGGGAGTATATGCGAGCAGGAAAATGCACACACGGAAGCAGCGTTTATTGTTCCAGGGGACTTTAACAATGCCAATCTCAGGAAAATCGCTCCAAAATACTATCAACAAGTCGCCACAAACACACGTGGTGATCGCATCCTGGGCCAGTGCTATTCTCCGTTTCGAGATGCCTACAAATCCCTCCCCCACCCACCGTTTGTCAAATCAGATCACTCTTCTGTTCTGCTCTTGCCTGCTTACAGGTTAGAAACTGAAACGGGAACCACCCACCCTCAGGATGTTTCAGAGCTGGTCAGACCAATCGGATTCCATACTTCAAGACTGTTTTGATCACGTGGACTGGGATATGTTCCGGGCAGCTTCTGATGACGACATCGTAGTGTACTCGGACACCGTTACAAGCTTCATCAGAAAATGCATAGCAGACGTGGTCCCAACAAAAACTGTCCTTATCTATTGCAATCAAAAACCATGGATCAATGGTGAAGTTCGAACAGCCCTATCAGTGCGAGCTTCCGCCTATAAATCCAGAAATGCTGAGGAACAAAAACCAGTACCGCCGCTCCCTGTACGCAGAGTATGCAGGCTGCGTAGGGCCTCAACTCGGGAGGGGGGCACCATCTTGGATGCTCAAAATAAAAAAAATTATATTTATTTACTAATATCAACATAAACTGCATGTAAAGAAAACATCTATTGATCATATGTTGTTAAATACATTAAAAAAAATCATTTTAAGACGGATGCATAAACAAACATGTGACGTAATTTTTGCGCGTGGCGCGGCCCGGTCCACTTACCTTTGCGGCTGCTACCTGCATATAATTATAATTGATGCAAGTTGCAGCTCTATGCACGGAAAAAGACAACAGCTGTCTGGAGCCGAGAAGAGGAAGAAAGTACAAGATGAATCATGTGCATCTTTTTCAGGTCACTTCCATGAATCTGGAAAACATACTGCTTTTTTTATTTATTATCTGTTTTTCGTCCTGTCTCTGTAATTCTGTTGCACTGTAGAAGCTCTGTTACGAAAACCAATTCCTCGTATGTGCGAAAATACCTGGCAATAAAGCTCTTTCTAATTCTAATTCTAATGTTTTGGGTTGTTCAAGTAAATTAGTGAGGCTAACGTTTAAACTTCTCCACAACTGCTTTGCATTGTGCTTTATTATTATTATTATTATTTTATTATTAGAATATGCAAAAATCATACAAATACAGGAAAACGTCAACAAATAACAAATACAAAGCAACGAAACAAAAACAAAACAAAAACAACAACAATATAGTCATGTACTGGTATGTGCGTGAGTGTGTGCGTGTGAGTGTGTGTATGCATGTAAAGGTAACTTGGTGGACAGGTCAGAGTACATACATAAGGAACAATAACAGTCAATAAATGAAGCAAGTGTCACAGATATAGATAAAACATATAGAAAGAAACCAGTCAGAGGTAGGGAGTAACAACAATGCTTATTAATGTATGGTAGTAAAAATGAGAGTAAAAAGAAAGAAAGGACAACAGTAATAACTGACAACAATAATAATAAATCACAAGTGCTACACCAACTACTACTACAAAAAGTTACTTATATTACAACTACTACTGCTTCTATTACAGCCACAACCACGACTACTACTACTACAATGTCTACTAATACTGATACTACTACAACGACTACCACTACTGATACTACTATAGCGTTTGCTACAACTAATACAACAACGTCTACTGCTACTACTACTACTGCTACTACCACCACCACAATCACTTCTACTACATCTACATCAACAACATCTACTACTGATATTACTACACCAACGACTACTACTACTACTGTAACTACCACACCATTACTACTTCTGCTACTACTTACATGAACTACTACTTCAATAATCTCCGTAACAATTACTCAATAACAATCGATACCATTACTCTGTCTACTACTTCAACTACAACTACTACTACTACTACTACTACAACTACTACCGCTACAACTACAACAACTGCAACCTTAATAATGATAATGGTATAAATACTTGTAATAATGATAATGGAAAGATAACAGGACAAGTCAGAACAGTAATAATAATAATAATGATTACAAAAAAAAAAAGTAATACCATTTATGACAAAGGTGTCGAGGAGAGGGGAGGATGAGAAATCAGGGAGAGGACAAGTAATAATAATAATAAATAATAATAATAATTATAATAACAAATAATAATAGTAGTAAGTAGAAGGGGAGAGAGAGGAAAAGAGAAAATAAACTAATGATAATAAACAAAAATTAAAAAAATACATGTAATAAAAATAAATAAACAAAAATAAATAAATAAAAACAGAAAAGGAAGGGGAGGAGTAGAAGAAAAAGAAAAGAAACAATAAGAGAGAAGAAAAATAAAGTTCAGCAAACAAAGCAATGAGAATAAGCAAAAAAAAGAATAATAATAATAAAAACTAAATAAATAAAAAAGAAAACACTATATCAATGCTAATTATGAATTATACAAACCCACATGGAAGAATAATATTAAAGATATGTATGATAGATTATTACTGTAACTTGATAACTATAATTAACTCATGCTGGTAATAATAATAATACTAATAATAATGATAATAATAAAAATAACAACAGCTGTAACAATAAATTGAGGAGGTTGTAGTTGTGTGATGGGCATTGAGGTATATAGTGTTTTTGCATTGTGCTTTAGACCAGACATGTTTTATGACATTTCGCGTTTGCCCCTCTTCCCAATGTTGCTGCTAATTACACAAACTGACTTAGTGTTATTAACTTGTGCAATACTTTACTATTCTGTTTGCACACTAGCTATAAACACATGCACTGCACAATTATTTCACTCTATGTATATATAGTTATTATGTTATATAATTATATATTATATCATTCTTTGCAGACAGCAGTTGTCATTGTTTATTGTTTTGTCTATTTCTATTTTTTTTTTGTATTGCTGCTTATTGCTGTTGTCATTGATTGTATCACTGCAATGACAATAAAGTCTCTTTAGTCTTTTTTGTGCATTACTGTATGAAATAACAAAACTGAGTTATAATCTGTGATTTCTGTAAGATCAATAATATAAAATGAGTCAAATTACTGTAAACCACAGGCCAAAAACCATTTTTATTGCATGAATGCATTAATTATAATTTTCTGAATGTTAACAAAGTTTTTTTTTTTGTTTAAAAATACCCTTATTAATTCTTAAAAACCACAAATGTCTTTGAATTATACTGAAAGGAAGGGCCAGCTTTTGTCACCATAGACTACAATGCAAATTAAATCCACATGTTGGTTGTGGTTTAGACGCATTATGAAGAGTGCTGGACTAGCCCGTTGTTTTAATGCTATGTCATGAGTTTTTCTTTAAATAACGAATTTCTTTTGTATTGTACATGAAGATCTATGCTGAAATTTGTCACAAAAGAAGATGAGGTGGCAGAACCAGCACTGCTCCAGAGACACCAGCAGCTGTACAGGATGCAGCATTGAGGACCGTCCATCTCTACAGGTACAGAGAGGGTTTTATTCCTTACCTTTTTTTAAATGTTTGAAATCATGTTTCTGCAGAAGATTCTGTTTATCATGCAGCAATACGTCACAGGTGCAGACTCACGGACGTATCACTGTATTTTGTATGATTCCTTAGACTGGTTATCTTTATATCAAAGGAGAAAATTACATCTGTTCTCATTTATTTTAAAGGCTCTTCTAGCTAAATTACCGTCTTATCTTTCTAATTTGTTAACATTTCACCCCAACAACCAACACACTAGATCTGGTTCATGTATTCGTCTAACACCTAACAACCTAGGGCACCCTTTTGGCAAGCAGTGGCTCTGACAAAAACAAGCAAATTACAACCTCAGGAAAACCATCAAAGCAGCAAAACATTAATACAGAGACAAGGTAGAGGGTCAATTTAACACCAATAACGCAAGGAGCATGTGGCAGGGACTTAATTACATCACAGACTTTAAAAGTAACAAACCCGCCACTGTAAACATTGCTGCGTCTCTTCCGGACGAGCTTAACTCGTTCTATGCCCGCTTTAAAACCCAGGACATCCAGCGGCTGATACCGAAACCGCCAGCACACTCTCTGTTTCTGTAACAGGCGTAATGAGATCTTTCCGTCGCGTGAACATTCGAAAAGCTACGGGCCCAGATGGCATCCCTGGACGTGTACTTAAAGCCTGCGCACACCAGCTAGCGGGAGTTTTTATGGACATCTTTAACCTCTCGCTCTCTCTGTCTGTGGTTCCCACATGCTTTAAGACAGCTACTATTGTGCCCATACCGAAATCAGCTAAAACAACATGCTTAAATGACTGGCATCCGATTTGATTTTAAGTTATAAATATATATATATATATATATATATATATATAAATATATATATATATTAATGGAATATGATTTTTATTTCTAATGATTTTCAGCATAAAAGTAAAATCACTCATTTTGACTCATACAGTGTATTTATGGCTACTGCAAGACTGATGAACTGCAGGTAACAATTGACTAGATATCTATCAGTAGTGATACACAAATAAACGAGGACGTATAAATCTCTTCATTTATTTTGAGCACTATTGCTCTCCTTATTCCTTGACATTCAGACATTTAAATTGAGGACAGAAATGTATTTAAAAGTTATTGTTGGTTACTTCTAAAAGATGCTGTAATGTCATTGACTGGTGTCTTGTGTTTCTTTCAATAATGATTGAACATGTTTCTCTTTTATCTGTTATTTTTGTAGATTTTCTCTTGATGTTGCTGGACAATGAAGAACAGACAGGAACTGGACAGCTTGTGATGGCAGTAACTGAGCAGAACAGCTGCTTCTACAAGCGACAGCCCAAATCACACTGAGATCATCATGAGACTGTTCTTCCAGGCCTGAACCCAGAGCGGCTTGTGTTGCCAATGTTTGACCTATGCAGTGTATCTGCTTGGCATCTAAACAGTAGACCTCAGGTATTCAGGAACTTCTCTTGCAGTCGTATACATGAAAGCTGTCCAACACAGTCCAGTTACTCGAGTCTAAACTGTTGCTTTAAACTGAGATTGTCAAAGTTTGAACAGTCTGCAAGGGTGGTCTGCAATCTTCACTGTACCAGGGGGGAAATATTTGTTGTATTAGTATATGATATTGTAGTATATAACAACATATTGTCTAACAGTAAAACCTTCTCTGTGGTTCCATTTGGCTAAACAGGCTCCACAAATTAGTGTTAAATCATAGTAAACATAGTATATGGCACTACTGGGTTGTTAAAGAGATTCCTTCAGCCTATAATGAATATTCTGTCATCTTTTACTCAGCCCTTACTATGAGTTTTTTTCTTCTGTTATACTCAAAAGAAGATATTTTGAAAAATGCTGGAAACCTGTAACTATAGGGTATATGCCGAGTTAGTGTTTTTCCCATACTGATAAACTTCTGGTGACCTGTTATTGTGATTTTATTTTATTTTTTCTACTTTACACGGTTCCTTTTCCAGCATGGATGTTGTAATGTAATTTAAATACATTCAATTAAATATACTTTGGCATTCATTTAGTTTCTTAAGCGTAAAACGAGACAAAAAGCTTTTTACTTGCACGCGCCCGTCAGAATCAGCAGGCTAGCGCAGCTCCATTGAATATACTGGGGAAAAATAAATGCTCATATTATAAAAACATGGCAGGGAAAATGTAATTTAATGCAGTGCTTCTTGTACAATCTGAGACCCACTTTATATCAGATATTGCTCAGCCAGTGAAGATCGCTGATTTTTTAAGAAAACAGACCTTAAATGTGAAGATTTTTTCATTGGCATACAGCTGACCGGAAGCAAATAACCCAGGTTACTGACAAATTGAAAGTCCTATTAGCATGCTTCGGCATATACCCTATCGACTTCAATTGTATTTGTTTTCCTACTGTGGACATCAATGGTTACAGATTTTCAGATTTGTGTCGTCTTCAGTGTTCAACAGAGGAAATAACCTCATCGGTTTGGAAGCACTTGAGTAAATAGTTTAGGGAGAACTCTCTCTTTAATTGAGTAAGGAGTCATTTAGAAAACTCAGAAATGATGATCAGAGCTTCAGTTTGATTCACAGGATTTCATCTGAATTATTAAAAATATATAAAAGCAATTCTTCACAAAACAATTCAAAGAACAATTCATTACAGAACAATCATGAACACTTAATTATAAAACCATCAGTCTCTCTTATGACAGAACACCAGATTCATTTATGAGGGAGAAAATAGTTGAGCAGATCTTTGATGACACTTTAGAAGAGAAAACTGTGACAGCACTGGATTTCCTGATGGACTCTCATCATTAATTCAGTTCAATTCATCTTCATTTCTATAGCGCTTTTACAATGTGGATTGTGTCAAAGCAGCTTAACATAGAAGTAAATTGAAACTGCGTTAGTCCAGTTTTCACAGTTGAAGTTCAGTTCAGTGTGGTTTAATTGTCACTGCTGGAAGTCCAAACACTGAAGAGCAAATCCATCGATGCGCAGCTCCACAAGTCCCAACCAAGCAAGCCAGCGGCGACAGTGGCGAGGAACAAAACTTCACCAATAGACAAAAGTGAAGGAAAAAACCTCGAGAGAAACCAGGCTCGGTTGGGTACGACCATTTCTCCTGTGGCCAAAGGTCTTGTGCAGAGCTGCGGTCTAGGCACCATTAATTACCATTATTGTCATTAATTAATCACCTCATGTCCTTAGTTCATGTTTAGTTCATATTGAGAACACAAATTAAAACATTTGAGATGAAATCTGAGAGCTCTCTGACCCTCAAACCCACGTTCAGATGAGCCCAGTGCACTGTATGTGTGTCGCACTGCTGACGTTTAACCCAGAGGCCTGCGCGACTTCCTCTCATTTAAACAAAGCGTGGGCACATCTGACGTAAACGTCAGCAGTGGACACACATACAGTGCAGGACAGAGCTCTCATGGTTTGATGATTTGATTTCATCTCAAATATTTTCATTTGTTTTCTGAAGATAAGGAAAGGTGTCAGGGGTTTGGAGCTACAGCTGTCATTGTGAAGAGAAACTTCTTTAATGCAGAAAGAAAAACACAAAACTTATCAAACAAAAAGAATGACTTCAGAAGTCCTGTACTGCACTGGATGTGTGTCTCACTGCTGACGGAAAACCCAGAGGCCTGCGCGACTTCCTCTCATTTAAACAAAGCGTGGGCACATCTGAGGTAAACGTCAGCAGTGCGACACACATACAGTGCAGGACAGAGCTCTCATCAACACACATCATGAACTGACACTGAAGAAAAGTAAGGTCTTAGGGGTTTGGAATGACATGAGGGAGTAATTAATAACTGATAATGCTAGTTTTGTGACTTTAATGGTGCTTTCTTCTTATTTCGTTTTTTCTTTTTTTTTCTAAAATGAAGAAAACAAGTAGAAACAACACAAAGTTATTTAAGCAGTGATATGTAGGGCTGTCAAATAAGACTTGACTCTAAAAGAGCAGAAGAGAAAACAACAGGAATAGCATGAAGCAAAGAAAGACTGAAGATGCAGTTTTGTGCTTGGTGTGTTCCTCTACCTCTTCTTTTTTAACTGCTGCACAGGATTTGGGGTCTTTGGATTGAACCACCGGTGCTCTTCAACCTGATGTAACTTTAGCCGGTTAACTGGATTACGTTTGAAACACTGGGAAATCAGGTCCTGGCATGCTGAAAAGTGACACAAAGAGTGTGAAATATGTCTGCAAACTCAAGATTCATGAACGTGTTTAAATCTTACTACAGCAAATTACAAAACATCCACAATCAAATAACTTTAATATCTACAGTAACCATTATATTTAATCCTTTTCTACTCGTGACTGACATATTTTATTCTGTCACTGAGGCTGAGATTGTTCAGAGGTGTCTGATTACCTGTAGATAACCTGGGGTGCATCTCAGCGGATTCAAACATTATTGAATGTTCGTCGGTAAAGGGCAAATCTGCATGCAAGATTTCATACAGAACGACGCCAATTGTCCAGACGTTTACTGGGTCAGCATGGTGTATGGGGCGCAAGAAAACCTCAGGTGGCGTGCATATGATAGCTCCTGTAAGAGAGACATTTTCAGAATTCAGTCATTTCATAAGACAATACTGTGACCAAAGAAACTAACACAAAACGCCAACTCACCTCGATATTCACTGCTGTCGAAAGGCTCGCTGGTAATTGGCCAAGCACAACCAAAGTCGATCAATTTGAGCTGTAATTGGGGTTTCGTCACCAGGATGTTTTCTGTGTGTATATCTCCATGGAAAACTCCTCGCTCAGTGCAGAACTTTACAGCTTGGATCAACTGACGCATTAACCGGCGTGCTCGCTTTTCACCAACGTCCAATGTATCTTTGATGTACTGATCCAAGGTCTGGGATGACTCTGCGTACTCCAGGCTGAGAATGAAGTTTCTCTCATTCTCAACCCAGTCGTGTAATCCGATGATGTTTGGACATTGCGGAGCATTCGCCAACTTAAGCATCATTGCCACTTCCGCAAGCACAGGTGTGGAATGACCATCCTAGAAAAAAAAAAACAGATTTCAAAGATATTACCAGAGCAGAATGGCACAAAGTACAGCAACAAAATCTTCACTAAGTAAATAATCACTGAGCTCCATGTTCTGACACATGTTTGCTTGTATTTAAGCATTTAGTCATGCAGTTTAAGCTAAAAGAGGACTCTTAGTGTGTGTTCTGTCTGTCTTTGTGGCTGAGCACATGCACACAACAGCACAAGCACTATTAAAGACGTGAATGAATCATATACACTCTAATTAATTAAGCACATCCCATGCTGCAAACGTTACGCTACATGATTTCACTGATGTCAACGTGAAATTGAGTTTTGCGTAGAAATGAATGCAGAATGCTTTACAAGGGGCCGGGATATGACGTAATGATCATTTTTATCTGCAATAATGTCAAATGAGTTTTCATTAACTCCACAGCCCTACATTCATGTGTTCTAAACTTGTCTCCAGGTTTATTTCTTCTGCTGAACACAAAAGAAGATATTTAATGTTGAAAACCAGTAAGCAGAAACTTCAAGTATTTTCTGTTTCTACAATGGAAGTCAGTGGCTCCCTGTTTCCAACATATCTGCTCTTGAGTTCAGTTTAAAGTGGTCCAGACAGGTACGGGACAAGTGAAAGACGAGTTAATGGTCGGCACATTTTCACTGTTGTGTGATTTATTCAACTTACAATGTCAAGATAGCGGTCGTCGAAACTCTTGTAGATAAACTTCAGGGCAACCTGCGAAGAAAAAACAACAAATTAAATTAAAGCCAACAAATTGAATATATTCAATAATCAGGAGGAAAATGTTGACTGAATGTAAATAGTAGTTCTCTACCTTTACTCTTTTACGAAGTTTGTAAGATGCCACAAACACCTGGCCAAACGCTCCTTCTCCAATCACGGCTCCGACTTTAAAATCAGACAGATCTAATCCTGAAAAACACAGAAAAAAAGCAGGGAGATTTCCTTGGATTGTCTGGTATAAAACGGATCAAATAAATAACTCGTATCCTTTGAATCTGGATTTAATGCAATGAGCTGAAAGCAATAACTTCTATCAGAATTGCTGGCGTAAATTGATCACTAATTTATAATAATTATGAGTTACAGAAAATAGAAGAAAATGATGACTTACTACCAGGGGGTCCAGAAGCTTCGTTAGCTTCCTCTAGCTCTGGATGTGGCGTAAGATGCTGGACTATATCTGTGTCACAGCACAGGAAAGGGCGCGTTATAGCCTTCCATACTCTCTTAAAGAAAGCAGAGACTCTTTTCCCTTTCCTTCCTTTCTTGGGTTTTTCTAAAATGAAGAAAACAAACAGAAACATCTACATGAACAGAGCTGCAGCTACTAATTAATACACAACCAACAGCACAACAAATTACACTGTCTGATTTACAAGCTAAAAACAACAAAGCGTTAAAATAACAGATGAATCAAATTCAGGATGACTCACCCTCAGTCCCTTCAATTTTAGAGGGGTGTTGAACAGACGGAGGCGACTCAGCACAGGCCGAATCTGCATCCGTCGTTTTCTTAATATTGGTGAGGCCATGGACACTGATTGGCTGGGGATCTTCCCAGATCTGGCCTGGCAGACACACTAGCTCAGTATCAACATGACCTGTCAGGGCCGTTGGGGACTCAGGACGGGCCGGATCTGCTGTTTGCTTGATCCTAGATGGGCCCGGAACACTCAACGGCTGAGGATCTTCACAGATCTGGACTGGCGGACGCATCTGCTCAGGGTCAACATGATCTGTGAGGGCCGTTGAGGTCTCAGGACGGGCCGGATCTGCATTCGGCACATCTGCTGTTTGCTTAATGCCGAAGGGGCCCGGAACACTCAACGGCTCAGGATCTTCACAGATCTGGACTGGCGGACGCATCTGCTCAGGGTCAACATGATCTGCGGCAGTCGTAGACTTGATCCTGGATGGTCCTGGAACAGCCAATGACTCGAGGCGGTCACAGACCTGGACTGGCGGACACATCTGCTCAGGGTCAACATGATCTGTAAGGACCGTTGAGGACTCTGGACGGGCCGGATCTGCATTCGGCACATCTGTTGTTTGCTTGATGCTGAAGGGGCCCGGAACACTCAACGGCTGAGGATCTTCACAGACCTGGCCTGGTAGCCACACCGGCTCAAGGTCTGCATGTGCTGCGACGGTCCTGGAGGGACCTGGAACAGGCAGATGCTCGAAATCATCGATATCCGACTGTGGTTCAAAGGGAGCCACTCTGTTCCAGTCACAGCAAAGAAAAGGACGCTTTACAGCCTTCCATGCTCTCTTAAAGAAAGCAGAGGCTTTATTCCCTTTCCTCCTTTTCACTGGGTTTTCTGAAATAAAGGAAATGAACAGGAAAATATTAGAAAACTCTTTATCCAAAGGTTTAAAATAGACAAACTGTTGTAAATTAGACATAAAAGACAATCACACAAAAGAAACAACAATAATAAATGTACTATGTAATAAATTATAATAGAAATTGTTTGAAAACTAAAATTAATTATGTGGAATTGCAAATCATTTCTATGATGTAAAATGACAAACACAAGCTGACAAATAGTCGGTAAGTCATAAGTCCATATTAGACATCAGGAAAAATCCTCAAAAACTAAACATTTCACTCCTGCTCACACAAAATGCAAACTATTATAATAACTTATTTTGAGTCAATATTCTGAGTTTTACCAGTTATAGTTTGAGCTATTTAACAATCTGCATCACAATGTTTAATCAAATTCATTTGGCCTTTTATTTGTTTGTCAGTGGGTGCTACATCTACATCTACATTCTTCCTCAAGCACTTCTCCACCACAAAAAAAACTAATGAAACTAAATCAGCATTTTTCAGCTTTCTATTAGCAATCGTCAAACTCAAAGTGAACAATTTCTCTCGCTCTGGAGCTTCAGTTAAGATATCTGTGAGTAAATTATAACTTAAAACATTTTACAATCAGTCTTAAAAATACAAATGAAAACACAAGTTTTGCTCCAGAACTTCAGCTACAGAAACAGAGCTCTAGACATTTATTAATATAGAGGTGAAGTTGGTTTTATATTTGCACATTTGTTCATTTAACAGTATCTACATTGTTTACCATGCTAGTTTTAATACTGGGTCTGAAACCGCATGTAAGTATGACTTCAAATCAACATTAGCACTATTTAATTGACTGTAAACACTGTTATACAATGATAGTCATTGGCTGTTAATATGATTTCCCTATTTAGAATTTGAAACAATATTTTTCTGTTATATTATAAAGGAGAAAGTCAGAATGTGTGAATATTAAGCCAACTTTATCCCAATTGTATTAATTCATCCCTGCTTGAACAAAGAAAGACTTTAATATTCTCACTCAGTTTGCTAAAATATAACAAATATTCCTCCACACCATCAAAAACTAACTAAATTACTGTGCAGGTCTACACATAGGATTTAAATTAAAGTAATATTAAAATGTTTTTATCTGTAAAGTTAACAAAGAAAATGATGAACTTAAAAGCCAGAATGTCAACACATCCTCTTAAGTCGGCAATTCGCTTTTATGGCGATATTATATTATTATTATTATACATTTTCTTAAATAATACAGGAATACATCGTTTTTGTAAACTGTCATCTCACCTGTTGGGCTTCTCATCACGGTAGGAGATGTAAGAGAAGCCATCGTGTCACTTTGATGATTATCGTTGACAAATACAGGCTTAATCAAATTAACTCGAGTAAAAAGCACAGCTGACATGTTATTTGCCATTTGAGATGCAAAACAAGTCGCTAAAGTCGTTAATCACTGTTCACTGTACTCGTTGGTTTGTCAAACTGAAGAAAATTCTAAACTGCATTCTGTCCTATGACAACGGTATTCTATTTATGTCATCATAGGTGAAGTGAGCTACATTGCTTCTTCCAGACCCTTACAACTTCAAGATATTTTTTGTTACTATGACGGTAAACTGATATATCAGAGAAGTACATTATTAACTTTTTTATTTTGTATGGAAAATATTTTATTCACAAACAAAATTTCTCCAATTCGCAGCCTTCTTTTTCACATTTTTTAATTGAAATTGATGTTTTTATTAAATCTCTTAGACTAGTTAATAACAAGAAAAGTGATAGATTCTTGGATTATTCTGATAAATATTTTGGAAATATCACGGATACATAAGTCCTTGTTTCCTCTTGCTGTATTTGTGTTATGTATGTATCTCTGTTTAATTTTATTTGTTTATATTTTACTCTCTTTTGTTTCTCTTTTAATTATTTTTTTAATTTCAATTATCCTGATCTGTTATTATCAGTATGTTTTTTTTGTGTAAAATTGGATTTTGTATGTTTGTTATTGAAGTCAATAAAATTAAAAAAGAAAAAAATTATAAATAAAAGTCGGTGAGGTGAGCTCTACAGCTCAGATGTTGTTTTTGTCAGATAATAAATTTATAACAAATAAAGTGTGATACCGTGATGAAAGCTTCAGCAGTTATTATTAAATTATATCAGAAATATCCGTATAAACTGCTCCTGTACGAGCAGCACCAGCGAAGATACATTCATTATATTTTACCAATAAAGTATACAAACCTGTATTAAATGTATTTATCAATAAATTAACAAACATGTATTAAAGTTTTTTTTTTATCACAGTCAACAATAAGTGGACGTTTGTGCTTCACATGTAAAAAGTTGAATTAGATATATGAAAGGTTGGGCTAAAATAGTCTATAAATTATTAGTCCACAAGAGAAAGAGAAAATGTTTTATGATTTATTAGGCAAATAACAAACTGGACCGCACAAGCAACCTCACTAGAATTTGGCCATCTGAATAATAAAACAATAACACCAGTAATAATTATAATAATGTCATTCCCTTTTATTGCCTCTCTTGTAAATCAGTCAAATTCACTGATAATGACAATCATTAAATTATCGCTAAAATATGATCATCATCAGTGGATTTGACTCATTATATGAAACTATTTAAAACGTGTTGATTTATGGACTGCTTTTGGTGCTGGACACTTTTTATTCATCGTTTTGTGTTAAACAACAGCTGCCATTTAATATTAACTGAACATTTTAATTTGATAATTTCAATAAAAAAAACGAATTAAATGGAATAAAATAATAATAAAATGAAATAAATACTTAATGGAAAATGTGAACGATGATGATATTATTCTCCATTCGTGAATTCTGCAGGCATCATAAACTGCTTTCAGAAGAATTATTTGATTATTTTCTGAGGATTATATTTAGGGTTGCCACCCGTCCCTTGAAATACGGAATTGTCCCGTTTTGAATCAATTGTCCCGTATTTTTAACATTCTTTAAAAGTAGCTTTTCATGCAAATCATCCCACATGCATTTACTGAATATGCCTCTTACTTTTGATTGGGTAATACTTGATGTCATCGCTTGGTCTTTGTCCAGTGAGGAGGGCGGGTGTTCTTAGCAGAGTCTGTCAAGTCTTGACAGAGAGTAATGGCAGATGCTTCTCCAGGTAACCCTCTGCGTCTTAAAGTTTCAGTTTAAACGCAATCGACTGCAAAAGTAACGCAGAGAGTGAGAGGAAACAGATAGCTACCTGACTGCAGAGTGTTAGAAATTATTATTAAGCTACTGCACGATTTGTCGGAGAGCGTTCTCTGCATGGTGTGTGGGACAACATGCCTCTGGAGAGCATTCCCGCAATGACAGCTCGCAAATATCAAAGGAGTCAGACTGTTCTCCGTGCCCCAAGTCTCTCTCGAAGCAGACATGGTAATAACAGTGGCCTAGTCTGTGAAAATCTAGCTGGAGTCTTATTTTTTAATTACTTGTTTTCAACATGAAATAAAGAACAGTCTGTGAAAATAATAATAATATATGTATTTAATATTAACTGAGTAAAACCATGTCAACAACTGAAATCACAGTGAAGTGAATGGCTACAGTCAAACATTATCTCAGAATTAGATTTGGCCTGGTTTTCACACTGGGTCACAAATTGTAATTTGTAAAAATTCTGTAAATACAATGTAAGTGGATCATATTCCAATGTAGTATTATGATTTGTTAAGGTTACATCAGGCACATAAGCATTAACTTATTACATGAAACTTTAATACATTAATAAACAACATAATGTCCATGTAAAGAAAATAAACTAGTTAATTGCAACTTTCCATATTTTAAAATTAAAAATAGGATATATGAAAACTTTACTAAAATTACACTTCAATTGTTCATTGGACTTATATTATGTTAAACTGACTTAAAACAGCGTGCATAACTTATAAAATTAAGATAGAACATGATTAACTTAGTTCAGTAAGTTAAAATGACCTAAAACATATGCTGCTGTCAGGACTAATTGATCAAATCATTTTTTTACAGTGTCTAATGTTTATGGATGTGCTGTTTGAATAGGTGATACTGCAAATAATGACAAACATTTTAGCCAAAATCTGTTATCAATACTAGGTTCATTAGTATTTTCTTCTCTCCTTTAGGTTACAGCAGCTGCTGAGTTAACGCAATTGTCTATTAAACATATAACGTCAGCTACATGCGACATCCATAGTTAAAAACGTTATCATGGGTCGAAAAGAGCGAGAGAGACGAAGAGAAAGCAGGCAGCAGCGTCATTGGCGCAAAATATTGAACATATGTTCAAATCAGGTGGCTAATTCGTACGAATTCGTACGATTTCAGTCGTACGAAATGATACGATTTTAAAAAGGAGGCGTGGCACCTAACCCCACCCCTAACCCCAACCGTCATTGGGGGAAAAGCAAATCGTACTAAATTGTACGAATTAGATCGTACGAATTCATACGAATTAGCCACTAAATGAAAAAGTTACGAATTGCCGTGAGATTGTGTTGGTTCAAATAGAATGGCAAACAGGGCAAGGCTGACGTTACTTCCGAACAGATGAGAATCTGTCCCGTTCAGGTTCTAGGCTGGCCGATTAGCCGGTCCGGTGCGTCCATATTTGCCGGTATTGATTTGTCTAGTACATGACCTCCCTTTCCCTATTTATTTTTTGACTGCTGTGGCATTACAATTTTGGAAAATCACTGTCTGATAAAGGCTTTACTACCAAGCGGAGTCATCCGCCGTCAACTGTCACAGCAAAAGGCGCTGATCCCGTCACGTCCTTTTTATGAGGCTGTGTACACCTGCTCACTTCATTTGCTTTATTCTGATCTGATATTAATCCATTTGCTCAAACCACTTCAGATTGCGGTCTGGGACACACTCCAGACGACACTGGACAGGTTTAATTAATGTATTCTTTAAATGAAATAAATGATGACCTGGAGAAAATCTGACCTGCGCCTGTTTAGAGAAACACCTGTAGGTGCGCTTTTACAGCCAGACACGTAAAGTGCCAAATAAATCAAGACACTTACTATAAGCATAAAACATGTGTTCTGAGTTTTCTTCATCTGCCAAAAAGTCAAGTAATGTTCAACTACACGGTCTTTAGGCTAATATGACGCATTTTCTCTTCATTCATCATTTTTACTTTTATTTCTTTAAGTAGGCCTATTTATTTTATTTTATTACAATTTTATTTCATTTCATTCGTTTTTTATTGAACTGAAATTATCAAATTAAAATGTTCAGTCAATATTAAATGGCAACTGTTGTTTAACACAAAACGATGAATAAAAATTGTCCAGCACCAAAAGCAGTCCATAATTCAACACGTTTTAGTTTTATATAATGAGTCAAATCCACTGATAATGATCATATTTTAGCGATAATTTAATGATTGTCATTATCAGTGAATTTGACTTATTTACAAGAGAGGCATTAAAAGGGAATGACATTATTATAATTATGACTTTTGTTATTGTTTTATTATTCAGATGGCCAATTTCTAGTGAGGTTAATTAAATCATCAATTTCAATTAAAAAATGTAAAAAAGAAGGCTGCGAATTGGAGAAATTTTGTTTGTGAATAAAATATTTTCCATACAAAATAAAAAAGTTAATAATGTACTTCTCTGATATATCAGTTTACCGTCATAGTAACAAAAAATATCTTGAAGTTGTAAGGGTCTGGAAGAAGCAATGTAGCTCACTTCACCTATGATGACATAAATAGAATACCGTTGTCATAGGACAGAATGCAGTTTAGAATTTTCTTCAGTTTGACAAACCAACGAGTACAGTGAACAGTGATTAACGACTTTAGCGACTTGTTTTGCATCTCAAATGGCAAATAACATGTCAGCTGTGCTTTTTACTCGAGTTAATTTGATTAAGCCTGTATTTGTCAACGATAATCATCAAAGTGACACGATGGCTTCTCTTACATCTCCTACCGTGATGAGAAGCCCAACAGGTGAGATGACAGTTTACAAAAACGATGTATTCCTGTATTATTTAAGAAAATGTATAATAATAATAATATAATATCGCCATAAAAGCGAATTGCCGACTTAAGAGGATGTGTTGACATTCTGGCTTTTAAGTTCATCATTTTCTTTGTTAACTTTACAGATAAAAACATTTTAATATTACTTTAATTTAAATCCTATGTGTAGACCTGCACAGTAATTTAGTTAGTTTTTGATGGTGTGGAGGAATATTTGTTATATTTTAGCAAACTGAGTGAGAATATTAAAGTCTTTCTTTGTTCAAGCAGGGATGAATTAATACAATTGAGATAAAGTTGGCTTAATATTCACACATTCTGACTTTCTCCTTTATAATATAACAGAAAAATATTGTTTCAAATTCTAAATAGGGAAATCATATTAACAGCCAATGACTATCATTGTATAACAGTGTTTACAGTCAATTAAATAGTGCTAATGTTGATTTGAAGTCATACTTACATGCGGTTTCAGACCCAATATTAAAACTAGCATGGTAAACAATGTAGATACTGTTAAATGAACAAATGTGCAAATATAAAACCAACTTCACCTCTATATTAATAAATGTCTAGAGCTCTGTTTCTGTAGCTGAAGTTCTGGAGCAAAACTTGTGTTTTCATTTGTATTTTTAAGACTGATTGTAAAATGTTTTAAGTTATAATTTACTCACAGATATCTTAACTGAAGCTCCAGAGCGAGAGAAATTGTTCACTTTGAGTTTGACGATTGCTAATGGAAAGCTGAAAAATGCTGATTTAGTTTCATTAGTTTTTTTTGTGGTGGAGAAGTGCTTGAGGAAGAATGTAGATGTAGATGTAGCACCCACTGACAAACAAATAAAAGGCCAAATGAATTTGATTAAACATTGTGATGCAGATTGTTAAATAGCTCAAACTATAACTGGTAAAACTCAGAATATTGACTCAAAATAAGTTATTATAATAGTTTGCATTTTGTGTGAGTAGGAGTGAAATGTTTATTTTTGCTAAATAGTTGCTTTGAGGATTTTTCCTGATGTCTAATATGGACTTATGACTTACCGACTATTTGTCAGCTTGTGTTTGTCATTTTACATCATAGAAATGATTTGCAATTCCACATAATTAATTTTAGTTTTCAAACTGACTGAAAAATTTATAAATTTTTAATTTATTTTAATTTTAAAAATTAAAAATAAATTTCTATTATAATTTATTACATAGTACATTTATTATTGTTGTTTCTTTTGTGTGATTGTCTTTTATATGTCTAATTTACAACAGTTTGTCTATTTTAAACCTTTGGATAAAGAGTTTTCTAATATTTTCCTGTTCATTTCCTTTATTTCAGAAAACCCAGAGAAAAGGAGGAAAGGGAATAAAGCCTCTGCTTTCTTTAAGAGAGCATGGAAGGCTGTAAAGCGTCCTTTCCTTTGCTGTGACTGGAACAGAGTGGCTCCCTTTGAACCACAGTCGGATATCGATGATTTCGAGCATCTGCCTGTTCCAGGTCCCTCCAGGACCGTCGCAGCACATGCAGACCTTGAGCCGGTGTGGCTACCAGGCCAGGTCTGTGAAGATCCTCAGCCGTTGAGTGTTCCGGGCCCCTTCAGCATCAAGCAAACAACAGATGTGCCGAATGCAGATCCGGCCCGTCCAGAGTCCTCAACGGTCCTTACAGATCATGTTGACCCTAAGCAGATGTGTCCGCCAGTCCAGGTCTGTGACCGCCTCGAGTCATTGGCTGTTCCAGGACCATCCAGGATCAAGTCTACGACTGCCGCAGATCATGTTGACCCTGAGCAGATGCGTCCGCCAGTCCAGATCTGTGAAGATCCTGAGCCGTTGAGTGTTCCGGGCCCCTTCGGCATTAAGCAAACAGCAGATGTGCCGAATGCAGATCCGGCCCGTCCTGAGACCTCAACGGCCCTCACAGATCATGTTGACCCTGAGCAGATGCGTCCGCCAGTCCAGATCTGTGAAGATCCTCAGCCGTTGTGTGTTCCGGGCCCATCTAGGATCAAGCAAACAGCAGATCCGGCCCGTCCTGAGTCCCCAACGGCCCTGACAGGTCATGTTGATACTGAGCTAGTGTGTCTGCCAGGCCAGATCTGGGAAGATCCCCAGCCAATAAGTGTCCATGGCCTCACCAATATTAAGAAAACGACGGATGCAGATTCGGCCTGTGCTGAGTCGCCTCCGTCTGTTCAACACCCCTCTAAAATTGAAGGGACTGAGGGTGAGTCATCCTGAGTTTGATTCATCTGTTATTTTAATGCTTTGTTGTTTTTAGCTTGTAAATCAGACAGTGTAATTTGTTGTGCTGTTGGTTGTGTATTAATTAGTAGCTGCAGCTCTGTTCATGGAGATGTTTCTGTTTGTTTTCTTCATTTTAGAAAAACCCAAGAAAGGAAGGAAAGGGAAAAGAGTCTCTGCTTTCTTTAAGAGAGTATGGAAGGCTATAACGCGCCCTTTTCTGTGCTGTGACACAGATATAGTCCAGCATTTTATGCCACATCCAGAGCTGGAGGAAGCTAACGAAGCTTCTGGACCCCCTGGTAGTAAGTCATCATTTTCTTCTATTTTCTGTAACTCATAATTATTATAAATTAGTGATCAATTTACGCTAGCAATTCTGATAGAAGTTACTGCTTTCAGCTCATTGCATTAAATCCAGATTCAAAGGATACGAGTTATTTATTTGATCCGTTTTATACCAGACAATCCAAGGAAATCTCCCTGCTTTTTTTTCTGTGTTTTTCAGGATTAGATCTGTCTGAATTTAAAGTCGGAGCCGTGATTGGAGAAGGAGCGTTTGGCCAGGTGTTTGTGGCATCTTACAAACTTCGTAAAAGAGTAAAGGTAGAGAACTACTATTTACATTCAGTCAACATTTTCCTCCTGATTATTGAATATATTCAATTTGTTGGCTTTAATTTAATTTGTTGCTTTTTCTTCGCAGGTTGCCCTGAAGTTTATCTACAAGAGTTTCGACGACCGCTATCTTGACATTGTAAGTTGAATAAATCACACAACAGTGAAAATGTGCCGACCATTAACTCGTCTTTCACTTGTCCCGTACCTGTCTGGACCACTTTAAACTGAACTCAAGAGCAGATATGTTGGAACCAGGGAGCCACTGACTTCCATTGTAGAAACAGAAAATACTTGAAGTTTCTGCTTACTGGTTTTCAACATTAAATATCTTCTTTTGTGTTCAGCAGAAGAAATAAACCTGGAGACAAGTTTAGAACACATGAATGTAGGGCTGTGGAGTTAATGAAAACTCATTTGACATTATTGCAGATAAAAATGATCATGGCGTCATATCCCGGCCCCTTGTAAAGCATTCTGCATTCATTTCTACACAAAACTCAATTTCACGTTGACATCAGTGAAATCATGTAGCGTAACGTTTGCAGCATGGGATGTGCTTAATTAATTAGAGTGTATATGATTCATTCACGTCTTTAATAGTGCTTGTGCTGTTGTGTGCATGTGCTCAGCCACAGAGACAGACAGAACACACACTAAGAGTCCTCTTTTAGCTTAAACTGCATGACTAAATGCTCAAATACAAGCAAACATGTGTCAGAACATGGAGCTCAGTGATTATTTACTTAGTGAAGATTTTGTTGCTGTACTTTGTGCCATTCTGCTCTGGTAATATCTTTGAAATCTGTTTTTTTTTTTCTAGGATGGTCATTCCACACCTGTGCTTGCGGAAGTGGCAATGATGCTTAAGTTGGCGAATGCTCCGCAATGTCCAAACATCATCGGATTACACGACTGGGTTGAGAATGAGAGAAACTTCATTCTCAGCCTGGAGTACGCAGAGTCATACCAGACCTTGGATCAGTACATCAAAGATACATTGGACGTTGGTGAAAAGCGAGCACGCCGGTTAATGCGTCAGTTGATCCAAGCTGTAAAGTTCTGCACTGAGCGAGGAGTTTTCCATGGAGATATACACACAGAAAACATCCTGGTGACGAAACCCCAATTACAGCTCAAATTGATCGACTTTGGTTGTGCTTGGCCAATTACCAGCGAGCCTTTCGACAGCAGTGAATATCGAGGTGAGTTGGCGTTTTGTGTTAGTTTCTTTGGTCACAGTATTGTCTTATGAAATGACTGAATTCTGAAAATGTCTCTCTTACAGGAGCTATCATATGCACGCCACCTGAGGTTTTCTTGCGCCCCATACACCATGCTGACCCAGTAAACGTCTGGACAATTGGCGTCGTGCTGTATGAAATCTTGCATGCAGATTTGCCCTTTACCGACGAACATTCAATAATGTTTGAATCCGCTGAGATGCACCCCAGGTTATCTACAGGTAAGCAGACACCTCTGAACAATCTCAGCCTCAGTGACAGAATAAAATATGTCAGTCACGAGTAGAAAAGGATTAAATATAACGGTTACTGTAGATATTAAAGTTATTTGATTGTGGATGTTTTGTAATTTGCTGTAGTAAGATTTAAACACGTTCATGAATCTTGAGTTTGCAGACATATTTCACACTCTCTGTGTCACTTTTCAGCATGCCAGGACCTGATTTCCCAGTGTTTCAAACGTAATCCAGTTAACCGGCTAAAGTTACATCAGGTTGAAGAGCATCGGTGGTTCAATCCAAAGACCCCAAATCCTGTGCAGCAGTTAAAAAAGAAGAGGTAGAGGAACACACCAAGCACAAAACTGCATCTTCAGTCTTTCTTTGCTTCATGCTATTCCTGTTGTTTTCTCTTCTGCTCTTTTAGAGTCAAGTCTTATTTGACAGCCCTACATATCACTGCTTAAATAACTTTGTGTTGTTTCTACTTGTTTTCTTCATTTTAGAAAAAAAAAGAAAAAACGAAATAAGAAGAAAGCACCATTAAAGTCACAAAACTAGCATTATCAGTTATTAATTACTCCCTCATGTCATTCCAAACCCCTAAGACCTTACTTTTCTTCAGTGTCAGTTCATGATGTGTGTTGATGAGAGCTCTGTCCTGCACTGTATGCGTGTCGCACTGCTGACGTTTACCTCAGATGTGCCCACGCTTTGTTTAAATGAGAGGAAGTCGCGCAGGCCTCTGGGTTTTCCGTCAGCAGTGAGACACACATCCAGTGCAGTACAGGACTTCTGAAGTCATTCTTTTTGTTTGATAAGTTTTGTGTTTTTCTTTCTGCATTAAAGAAGTTTCTCTTCACAATGACAGCTGTAGCTCCAAACCCCTGACACCTTTCCTCATCTTCAGAAAACAAATGAAAATATTTGAGATGAAATCAAATCATCAAACCATGAGAGCTCTGTCCTGCACTGTGTGTGTGTCCACTGCTGACGTTTACGTCAGATGTGCCCACGCTTTGTTTAAATGAGAGGAAGTCGCGCAGGCCTCTGGGTTAAACGTCAGCAGTGCGACACACATACAGTGCACTGGGCTCATCTGAACGTGCGGTTTGAGGGTCAGAGAGCTCTCAGATTTCATCTCAAATGTTTTAATTTGTGTTCTCAATATGAACTAAACATGAACATGAATTAAGGACATGAGGTGAGTAATTAATGACAATAATGGTAATTAATGGTGCCTAGACCGCAGCTCTGCACAAGACCTTTGGCCACAGGAGAAATGGTCGTACCCAACCGAGCCTGGTTTCTCTCGAGGTTTTTTCCTTCACTTTTGTCAATTGGTGAAGTTTTGTTCCTCGCCACTGTCGCCGCTGGCTTGCTTGGTTGGGACTTGTGGAGCTGCGCATCGATGGATTTGCTCTTCAGTGTTTGGACTTCCAGCAGTGACAATTAAACCACACTGAACTGAACTGAACTTCAACTGTGAAAACTGGACTGACGCAGTTTTAATTTACTTCTATGTTAAGCTGCTTTGACACAATCCACATTGTAAAAGCGCTATAGAAATGAAGATGAATTGAACTGAATTAATGATGAGAGTCCATCAGGAAATCCAGTGCTGTCACAGTTTTCTCTTCTAAAGTGTCATCAAAGATCTGCTCAACTATTTTCTCCCTCATAAATGAATCTGGTGTTCTGTCATAAGAGAGACTGATGGTTTTATAATTAAGTGTTCATGATTGTTCTGTAATGAATTGTTCTTTGAATTGTTTTGTGAAGAATTGCTTTTATATATTTTTAATAATTCAGATGAAATCCTGTGAATCAAACTGAAGCTCTGATCATCATTTCTGAGTTTTCTAAATGACTCCTTACTCAATTAAAGAGAGAGTTCTCCCTAAACTATTTACTCAAGTGCTTCCAAACCGATGAGGTTATTTCCTCTGTTGAACACTGAAGACGACACAAATCTGAAAATCTGTAACCATTGATGTCCACAGTAGGAAAACAAATACAATGGAAGTCGATAGGGTATATGCCGAAGCATGCTAATAGGACTTTCAATTTGTCAGTAACCTGGGTTATTTGCTTCCGGTCAGCTGTATGCAAATGAAAAAATCTGCACGTTTAAGGTCAATTTTCTTTCAAAATCAGCGATCTTCACTGGCTGAGCAATATCTGATATAAAGTGGGTCTCAGATTGTACAAGAAGCACTGCATTAAATTACATTTTCCCTGCCATGTTTTTATAATATGAGCATTTATTTTTCCCCAGTATATTCAATGGAGCTGCGCTAGCCTGCTGATTCTGACGGGCGCGTGCAAGTAAAGCTTTTTGTCTCGTTTTACGCTTGAGAAACTAAATGAATGCCAAAGTATATTTAATTGAATGTATTTAAATTACATTACAACATCCATGCTGGAAAAGGAACCGTGTAAAGTAGAAAAATAAAATAAAATCACAATAACAGGTCACCGGAAGTTATCAGTATGGGAAAAACACTAGCTCGGCATATACCCTATAGTTACAGGTTTCCAGCATTTTTCAAAATATCTTCTTTTGAGTATAACAGAAAAAAAAAACTTATAGTAAGGGCTGAGTAAAAGATGACAGAATATTCATTATAGGCTGAAGGAATCTCTTTTAACAACCCAGTAGTGCCATATACTATGTTTACTATGATTTAACACTAATTTGTGGAGCCTGTTTAGCCAAATGGAACCACAGAGAAGGTTTTACTGTTAGACAATATGTTGTTATATACTACAATATCATATACTAATACAACAAATATTTCCCCCCTGGTACAGTGAAGATTGCAGACCACCCTTGCAGACTGTTCAAACTTTGACAATCTCAGTTTAAAGCAACAGTTTAGACTCGAGTAACTGGACTGTGTTGGACAGCTTTCATGTATACGACTGCAAGAGAAGTTCCTGAATACCTGAGGTCTACTGTTTAGATGCCAAGCAGATACACTGCATAGGTCAAACATTGGCAACACAAGCAGCTCTGGGTTCAGGCCTGGAAGAACAGTCTCATGATGATCTCAGTGTGATTTGGGCTGTCGCTTGTAGAAGCAGCTGTTCTGCTCAGTTACTGCCATCACAAGCTGTGTCCAGCAACATCAAGAGAAAATCTACAAAAATAACAGATAAAAGAGAAACATGTTCAATCATTATTGAAAGAAACACAAGACACCAGTCGATGACATTATAGCATCTTTTAGAAGTAACCAACAATAACTTTTAAATACATTTCTGTCCTCAATTTAAATGTCTGAATGTAAAGGAATAAGTAAATAAATGAAGAGATTTATACGTCCTCCTTGTTTATTTGTGTATCACTACTGACAGATATCTAGTCAATTGTTACCTGCAGTTCATCAGTCTTGCAGTCGCCAAAAATAAACTGATGAGTCAAAATGAGTGATTTTACTTTTATGCTGAAAATCATTAGAAGATCATATTTCATTAATATATTTATATTTATAACTTAAAATCAAATCACTTTTTTTTGTTACATCATCAGCAGCATGTGTGCTATGATGATTGAAAAGCTTAGGTGCTGGCTCCAGACAGTACAAAATACAGAGAGTGCAAAATACAACAGCACACTCCCCATAAAAACAGGGCAATGTAAAATTGACAGTGATATGTACAATGAATAGGTGTACCCATAGTTGTAGGCAGTGTTGTTTCAAGTATGGATTGGTTAAAGTGCAGTGCATGCTACATATTGATGGTGTGGAGTGAGGGATATGGAAAAGTCTGTTTCAGGTGTGTTAAGTGTTCATCAGCCTGATAGTCTGAGGGAAGAAGCTTTCCTTCAGCCGGCTGGTGCGTGACCGGATGCTGCGGAACTGTCTGCCTGAGGGTAGCAGAGAAAAAAGTCTATGGCTTGGGTGGCTGGAGTCGCTGATAATTCTCTAGGCTTTCCTCATGCACCGCCTGGTGTAGATGTCCTGGAGGGAGGGAAGCTCACCTCCTACTACGCGACCAGCAGTTCGCACAATCTTATGTAGGTCTTTGCGATTGCTGCTAGGGCTGTTTCCATACCAGGTGGTGATACAGCCAGATAGGATGCTCTCCACAGTGCAGGTGTAGAATGAGCGGAGGATGTGGGGGCTCATTCCAAACCTCCTGAGAAGCCTGAGGAAGAAGAGGTGTTGTTGTGTCTTCCTGAGCACTGCGTCTGTGTGAGCAGTCCATGCCAAAACCTCAGCGATTTGGACTCCGAGAAACTTGAAAGTGCTGACTCTCTCCACCAGTGTCCCGTTGATAGTGGTGTGTTCTCTCTTCTCTCTCCTGAAATCCACCACCAGCTCCTTGGTTTTGCTGATGCTGAGTGAGAGGTGGTTTTCCTGACACCACAGCATCAGAGTGTGCACCTCCTCTCTGTCTCATCATCATTGGTGATTAGGCCCACCACTGTTGTGTCATCAGCAAATTTAACGAGGACGTTGGAGCTGTGTTTGGCTGTACATTCATGTGTGTACAGGGAGTACAGGAGTGGGCTGAGAACACAGCCCTGTGGAGCACCAGTGTTGAGGATCAGTGTGGATGAGGTAATGTTGTTTATTCTGACCACCTGGCGTCTGCCTGACAGGAAGTCCAGGATCCAGTTACACAGAGAGTTGAGTAGACCCAGAGCCTGGAGCTTCACCACCAGCTTGGCAGGCACTATGGTGTTGAATGCTGTGCTGTAGTCCACAAACAGCATTCTCACATATGTGTTTTTGTTTTCCAGGTGAGACAGAGCAGTGTGCAAGGTGAAAGCTATTGTATCATCAGTGGAGCAGTTATTCCTGTATGCAAATTGCAGAGGGTCAGTGTGAGTGGGCAGTAAAGAGCAGATGTGCTTTTTAATCAGCTTCTCAAAGCACTTACTGAAGATAGGTGTCAGAGCAATCGGATGCCAGTCATTTAAGCATGTTGTTTTAGCTGATTTCGGTATGGGCACAATAGTAGCTGTCTTAAAGCATGTGGGAACCACAGACAGAGAGAGCGAGAGGTTAAAGATGTCCATAAAAACTCCCGCTAGCTGGTGTGCGCATGCTTTTAGTACACGTCCAGGGATGCCATCTGGGCCCGTAGCTTTTCGGATGTTCACGCGACAGAAAGATCTCGTTACGCCTGTTACAGAAACAGAGAGTGTGCTGGCGGTTTCGGTATCAGCCGCTGGATGTCCTGGGTTTTAAAGCGGGCATAGAACGAGTTAAGCTCGTCCGGAAGAGACGCAGCAATGTTTACAGTGGCGGGTTTGTTACTTTTAAAGTCTGTGATGTAATTAAGTCCCTGCCACATGCTCCTTGCGTTATTGGTGTTAAATTGACCCTCTACCTTGTCTCTGTATTAATGTTTTGCTGCTTTGATGGTTTTCCTGAGGTTGTAATTTGCTTGTTTTTGTCAGGGCCGCTGCTTGCCAAAAGGGTACCCTAAGGTTGTTAGGTGTTAGACGAATACATGAACCAGATCTAGTGTGTTGGTTGTTGGGGTGAAATGTTAACAAATTAGAAAGATAAGACGGTAATTTAGCTAGAAGAGCCTTTAAAATAAATGAGTACAGATGTAATTTTCTCCTTTGATATAAAGATAACCAGTCTAAGGAATCATACAAAATAAAGTGATACGTCCGTGAGTCTGCACTTGTGACGTATTGCTGCATTATAAACAGAATCTTCTGCAGAAACATGATTTCAAACATTTTAGAAAAATGTAAGGAATAAAACCCTCTCTGTACCTGTAGAGATGGACGGTCCTCATTGCTGCATCCTGTACAGCTGCTGGTGTCTCTGGAGCAGTGCTGGTTCTGCCACCTCATCTTCTTTCGTGACAATTTTCAGCATTGATCTTCATGTACAATACAGAAGAAATTAGTTATTTAAAGAAAAACTCATGACATAGCATTAAAACAACGGGCTAGTCCAGCACTCTTCATAATGCGTCTAAACTACAACCAACATGTGGATTTAATTTGCACTGTATTCTATGGTGACAAAAGCTGGCCCTTCCTTTCAGTATAATTCAAAGACATTTGTGGTTTTTAAGAATTAATAAGGGTATTTTTAAACAAAAAAACTTTGTTAACATTCAGAAAAAAAAAGTAATGCATTCATGCAATAAAAATAGTTTTTGGCCTGTGGTTTACAGTAATTTGACTCAATTTATATTATTGATCTTTTAGAAATCACAGAATATTACTCAGTTTTGTTATTTCATACAGTAATGCACAAAAAAGACTAAAGAGACTTTATTGGACCGGGCTGTGCCACGCCGCTACGCACGACTGCACGAAAAATTACGTCACATGTTTGTTTATGCATCCGTCTTAAAATGATTTTTTAAAATGTATTTAACAACATATGATCAATAGATGTTTTATTTACAAGCAGTTTATGTTGATATTAGTAAATAAATATAAATTTTTTTGAGCAGCTGAGGTGGTGCACCAGATGGACTGAGATGCTCTAGATCAGGAGAACAAAATGATCTAACTGGGTGTATGTTCCTCTCATCACACCACGAGTTGTTAATAAAAAAAAACACCTCCTCCTTTGCTTTTCCCGGTGAGTTCTTTCGTTCCATCCATGCTGTGCACGGAGAACCCTGAAAGTTCAGCAACTGTGTCTGGTACCTCCGCAGATAGCCAGGTTTCTGTAAGGGAGATAATGCAGCAGTTTCTTGTTCCCGTTGGATAAAATAGGAAATTGAGATTAAAGATATCTATAAATTATATTTTTACTGAGTAAATCAAAATAGAGACATCTCAAATGACTGTTGTACTGGCGATAATAACAATGGATGCTTTCTCATGAGGTCCAAACTGCAGCTCTGCTCATTTCATTCGTCCAGTGGAAAACTACTGTTTGTTGGCCGGGCTGAGCCTGGTTTCTCCAAATGTTTGTTCTTCACTTCTGTCAGTTGCTGGAGTTTTGCTTTTACTGCCATATCTGACTATCTTGGTTGGGGTGACCCAAATGAAAACCCTCCTTTTGACCTGGTAGAGGTTAAATGCCTAGATGTAAATCACGTTGGAGAGGCATCACACACTTCAGTTAAAGAGGGTGAAGCAAAATTAAAGAAATCACATGCCTACCACTGGCAAATCCAGGGACAGCTGATGGTTACTGGCTTAGCTTGGTGTGATCTGGTAACAGATACCAGGGGTGACTTCACTGTGGAGAGAGTATGGAGGGATGATGAGTTAATCCAAGAAATCAAGACAAAAGTTGATGAATTCTACTTTGGTACCTACATCCATATTCTGCTTAGGGTTTACTCTAACTGGTGTACCATAACATGTTATATATTCACAGATATACAGTTTTTTTTTTGTCATTCAATTCATTTATTCATTAACTGCTGTTGTTTTTTATGGCTTGTTCTCAATTTAGATTTATAATAAAACTATTTTCCTATCTTTTTTACTAAACATCAAAAAATTATTGCTGAAAATTGTTGTAACTTTACCCAAACTGGAAATAATAGTCCATGACATGACAGTCAGGTCAGATTAAAAATCTGACAGATGCTGTTGCAGGCTACAAAGGAGAGTTAGTTTATGTGGTCTTTTATCAGTCTGAGGTACCAATGACCACTTGATCTGGCCCGGATTCCCTGAGAAAACATAAAAATGTAGCATATGGTTGCTGGTGTTACTGGCTGGTAAGTACGAGGTGCTGGAGGTGCTGGTGGCTGGTGTTACTGGCTGGTGAGCAGTAGGAGGTTTTGGAGGTGCTGGTGGTTGATGTTACTGGCTGGTGAGCAGTAGGAGGTGTTGGAGGTGCTGGTGGTTGACGTTACTGGCTGGTAAGCAGGAGGAGGTATTAGAGGTGCTGGTGGCCGATGTTATTGGCTGGTGAGCAGGAGGAGGTGTTAGAGGTGCTGGTGGCCGATGTTATTGGCTGGTGAGCAGGAGGAGGTGTTAGCAGTGCTGGTGGTCGATGTTATTGGCTGGTGAGCAGGAGGAGGTGTTAGCAGTGCTGGTGGTCGATGTTATTGGCTGGTGAGCAGGAGGAGGTGATAGAGGTGCTGGTGGCCGATGTTATTGGCTGGTGAGCAGGAGGAGGTGATAGAGGTGCTGGTGGCGGATGTTATTGCCTGGTTAGCAGGAGAAGGTGATAGAGGTGCTGGTGGCCGATGTTATTGCCTGGTGAGCAGGAGGAGGTGATAGAGGTGCTGGTGGCCGATGTTATTGGCTGGTGAGCAGGAGGAGGAGATAGAGGTGCTGGTGGCCGATGTTATTGGCTGGTGAGCAGGAGGAGGTGTTAGAAGTGCTGGTGGCCGATGTTATTGCCTGGTGAGCAGGAAGAGGGCCAAAGAGGGCCAGCTGGGGCTTCGGGGCGGAGTGAAAGGAGAGGCGGGGACAGTATTCCGATCGCACACAAGTACATGCGCCAAACACATTAAAAAAAATAAATAAATAAGGGAAAGAAAACATCTGGAACAAATTATAGGCTGGGGTCTTTTTGCGTATGATCGCCCTTATGTTTCTCTTTTAAATGTAAGGCTGTTGCATAAAATAATAAAGTAGTTTTAATTTATAAGTGACTTTTCTTTGCTGCATCCTCCTTGATGTTTCAATAACGCATAATAATCTTTACACCATATTAAAGACACAATAGACAGTAATGGTTTTCGAGAGTTTTTGTCAAGTTTAAAAGGTGTATTTGTGCGCGTTTAGAAGCCTGTGTGTGTGTGTGTGTGTAAGACCAAGGAAAAGAGCGCTCCCTTCACAGCTCTGTTGATGCCGCGTGGCTTTTTTCTTTTATTTTTTATTGTTTTATTATTTTGGAGATAATACACTATATGAATACAACAGAAAGACATCAAACTTTACAAATTTTGTGTCCACTTTTGTAGGCTCAAAACAATAGTGTCATCTAGATAAAATAGCCTAAGCTATATTGAAATAATTTAAAGAATTACAAATATCAGATATATTAAAATCACATTAAATAAATAAACCAATATAAAACTAACAAAAGCTAGCTATAACAATTAGGTAATTTATCAAACTGTTTTAAAGCAATATTAAACTTTCATTTTTCAAAAGCCTCTCTGAAAAAAGATTTTAAATATTTTCTAAAAACAATAAACACCGGAGAATGTTTTAAATATTATTTATAACGTATTTGGATACAATGATATTAATCAAATCATGCAAACAGAGCATTTTCAGGGTGAGTGAAAGCAGAAACTAGGCGACCTTTTTTTCTGTCTTCCAGCTGCGCAGCACTTTACAGACCCATCAGGGAAAACTACAAGTTCAAAATGTGTTCTGTGTCCTCAAACAAGTGTGTATGTTTTTATATGACGTGGTAAAATGAAAAAAGGAAATTTTAAACACATAAAGAGCTTTATTAATGGATAGCTGCTGAGCGCAACGCAATATAGGCCATATTTTATTACGTGCTGCTGTTATGTGCTGAAACCTTTACTTAATATTTAATAAGCAACATCTTTAAACAAAGGGAATCCCCTATTAAGTGTCATAAAGCCTATAGGGAAAAATTCATGTTTCAGTTCTCTCCGGAGCATTTGGGATGAATGTTGGACAGCGTCTGTCTAACTGAGGATGTTATAAAATACATTTTATATCGAATTATTAATGGAGAATTTTATATATGTGATTTTATATTATTGATGTGTGCGCTCCCTGCGCTGGGTCCCTCCGTTAGTGGCAAGACCAATGGATTTAGATGCCAACAGTCGGTGGGCGAGTAAATGAATATGATGAATGAAAACACACAGGTATGTGCGTATGGACATACATTGTACTGCTGTACAGTAACGTGTCATTTGTTTGTTTTGGTTGTCCTAATTTTCCCGCTGAAGTGGGCGGATTGAGTGACGTACGATTCGGGGAATGTTCTGGGGGCGGGGTTTGCGTGACGCGCTGCGAGCTACTAGCCTGACAGTGGAAACGCGACATAATTTCGGCCTCACTGCTCCCAGGCGATTGGCCCGGCATGGCCCGATAAAAGCCCTGGCTCGCACTGGTCTGATAGTGGAAATGCGGCTATTGGCTGGTGAGCAGGAGGAGGTGTTAATGGCTGTTATGGCTGTAATGACAGTCTGAAAAACAATTAGCTTAAGGGGCTAATAAATTTGACCTTAAAATGGTTCATAAAAAAATTAAGAACTGCTTTTATTCTAGCTAAAATAAAACAAATAAGACTTTGTTCAGAGGACAAAATATTATCAGACATACTATCAACATTTGCTTGCTCTGTTAAACATCATATAGGAATTAGGAAATATTTTATAAAGAAAAAAACTTCCATTGTATATATATTTACAGTACTTTTTTAAAATGTTTTTTAAGAAAACTTATTCAGTTAATCAAGGCTACATTTATTAAATGAAAAAAATGTTAAATTGTTAAATATTTATCAACATTTTAAATAACTGCTTTGTTATTGTATGTAGTTTCAAATAAAATTATTACTCCAGACTCTATTGCTTTTATTACTATTACCATAAATAAATATAATAATAATTAATATTAGTGATTTCTGAAGGATCGTGTGACTGGAGTATTGAAGCTGAAATTTCATCTTTAAAATCACTGGAATAAATGCAAAAATTAAATGATAAACTACTTTTGAACAGTTATTTTATAGTGCAACATTTCACAATTTGTATTTATGATGAAATAATTGCAGCCTTGGTGAGCAGAAGAAGCTTAGTTTAACATATTTAATCATACTGACCCCAAACTTTAGAGCACTTGTGTATAGAATATTTTATAAGTGAAAATGTGCACTTTAATTTCAAGTGGTGCTCGCTGCAGAGCCATTTGAGGAGAGTTGAGCTCAAGAGAGGGGGAGCTTAAGCTTGAGCTTCACCTTTTTTGCACTTCTTCTACGAGTGATGTCACTGGGGGTAGGGTTAGGGGTGGGGTTGGTGTACGCATTAAAACAGCTTACAGGAGGAGGAGCGACAGCTCATGCTCCCCCTCTCTGGAGCTCACCTTTCCTCAAATGGCTCTGCAGCGAGCACCCTCTCTTTAATTTTAACAACCCACAGACATCGTCACCGTATATAAAGCAGAGGTTAGACTTTCTCATATATACAGAGCCTCATTTCAATTGTCAGGTTTTATAAAAATGGATCTATTGAATTAATCAATCTATTAAAGAAACGTTGGCTAGAATTCTGCATTATAGGCTTAAATTATAGAGAGACATAGCAGATGAACTGAGACTGCATCAGTTCAATGTAAATCTTTCTTTCGAGCTGTCAGTGCGGAAATGAACAAAACAACAGGCCTAATACAACATATTATACGATTAAAA